GAGGACCAAGAATGTAGGATTGAGAAGGCGGGGATGAGGATGAGGCTGTCTTCCTCCTATGACCATGCAGTCAGGACACCTGTTAGAACTCCTGGGAGGGAACCAGTGGTACAGGGAGCAGGAGAGCCCAGTGGGCAGCACAGAAAAGCATTCGTCTCGCTCTGTCTCCCAGGCTGGAGTGCAGTGGCACGATCTTGGCTCACTGCAACCTCCCACTCCTGGGTTCAAGCAATTCTCCTGCCTCAACCTCCCATCGTTGTCTCATTCTTAGCATCCCAACACAGTTTGCCTGGGAACGCCACTCCCTGAGACATTCACTGTGAGCCCTGACAGCCACGAGAAAAACATAGCTCATTTTCTCAGAATTAGGAGACTCTGGAGGGCTTCATCAGACTGGCAGCAAGCCTAGCTGCTAGTGAGGGTTAGTTATGGCAAGCTATGGAGTAGGTGGAGTAGCTCTCCAATCCCCAGTTCCCCTTGATGTGCCTTCCTCTTAATTCCTTGATCATCCATTCTTTCCAGGAGCCAGTGCTAAAAACCCGCTCACAGATTGGGATCTGATACCAGTTGGTTAGGCCTCAATCGGAATTTAAACCAACACATTCTTTCCCAAGGGTATTTACACTGTAAGCCTTACGGCTACCTTGTTCCTTATTAGAGAGACAGCAAGGATCAAATAGAAAGTATGGAGGAGTGTGGGGTGGAGACTCCACGCTAGGGCTCCAGAAACAAGTGGTCACCTGTTCTCAGGTCCAGTGGCCACTTGTCCAGGGTTGTGCAACCCCTCTTCCCATTTAGGTCAAGGAGGGGTGTTGGCTATTCTGTTATGTGGATGAGATGCCCACATAGGCACTGTGTGAGGGCTTTAGATGTAGGACCTTGAAATGCTCTTGAAAAAAGGGATTTTAGCATTTTTCTTTTCTTTGGCTTTGTTCCACAAATGCACTGCAGGAGGCAGGTTAGAGATAAACACTATGTAAGATGATATTTGAAAAGGGAATTATGTCTTTGTTGTTTAATATTTCAAAGCTTATGAAGTTGAAAGCTCATTTGGGTCCCTCCCCAATGTTTTCTTACTGTGGTACGTGTTGTCTTTTATTTCTTCTTCACATTCCACAACAGCACATCCTCATCCTTGGTACGAGCCACTGAGTTTTCACAGGCCCTTACAAGGATCTAGTGCTGAAGTCGCCGTTCTGTGCAATCTCTGTGGGTGAAGATCATTTCCCTTTCATTGTGGTCTACGCAGTTCATTGTGAGGGGCAGGAAATGAGTTCCCAGTACTTCTGATGTGATCAAAATCTCATTTGGTTTATATAGTAGGATCTAAACTGTAAACTGTATGCTATCATCTGATATATTTGCTCATCTAGAAAAAGATGAAGTAAATTCATGTCTCCGTAAGTTGGAATTATGCAGGCAAAATTAGCTTCAAGTATGCAGTTTGGGTTTTGAGAGGACATACTTTAAAATATTTTTGTGACTGTTCATGTTGAACTCACTAGTATATAGTTGGATCAGTCAGAGAACCTGTCTGAGTCTTATTTCTCTTGACATGGCACAGGATAATAATCCAACCACACAGGTTACAAAAGCAAAGTAGATGCATGTGATCATACATATATATATATATATATATATGAATAGTACTATATTATTTATTTATTGTGTTTAGAGATGGGGTCTCACTATGTTGTCTAGGCTGGTCTTAAACTCCCAGGCTCAAGTGATTCTCCTGCCTTGGCCTCCCAAGGCGCTAAGATTATAGGCGTGAGTCACCGCACCCAGTCTGAATAGTTCTATAGTATTATGTATATTGTAGTACTAATAAGTACTCATAGGTATACTACAATATACATAGTACTATTCATAGACAATGATATTTTGTAATATCGGAGTCATAGTGATAACAAATATATTACCATGCTCTGTGAGGGCATCCCAAAAGCCACCCCAAAGAAATCTAAAGTAACTGGTTCATTTAATGCATTACTTGTATCAAACATTTGACTAGAGAGAGAACAGGCACAGCATAAAACAAAAATGTCTCTTTGCATGATTTTTCCTGTAACCAATCAAATCAGATTTACAAATGTCCTCCTGTAAATGCTGAGGACTGTGAGGTCCTGAAATTATTAGTGAGCTAGTCTGGAAAATAGAAATTAATTATCCGATTCCCATTTATACTAATTTAAATGTGTGTAAAATGTTTAAAGGAACAGCAGGAATGTGGGCTGTGATCAAAACACTTTATTTCTGATGTCCTACTGTGCCTAATGGATATTACAGTAGGTCAAATAATGGTCCCTAAAGGTGCCTGTGTCCTAATCCCTGGGCCCTGTGAATGCTTTACCTTACAAGGCCATAAGTCCTCTACAGACGTGATTAAATTAAGGAACTTGAGATAAGGAGATGATCCTGGATTATCTGGGCGGGCCCAATGTAATCAACAGGGTCTGTATAAGAAGAAGGCAATATGACAACTGAAGCAGAGATTGGAGCGATGTGGCTACAAGCCAAGGAATGCCAGCAGCCTCTAGGAGCTGAAAGAGGCAAGGAACAGATTTTGCCTTGGAGTCTCCAGAAAGAACCAGGCCTACTGACCCCCTAACAATAGCCTGGTCAGACTGGTTTTGAACTTCTGACCTCCAGAAGTGTAAAAGAATATAGATATGTTGTTTTAAGCCACTAAATTTGTAGATTTTTTTTCTTTTTTTTTTTTTGAGATGGAGTCTTGCTCTGTCACCCAGGCTGGAGTGTGGAGTGCAATGGCATGATCTTGGCTCATTGCAAACTTTGCATCCCATGTTTAAGCAATTCTCCTGCCTCAGCCTCCTGAATAGCTGGGATTACAGGTGTGTGCCACCATACCAGCCTAAATTTTGTATTTTTAGTAGAGATGGGGTTTTACCATGTTGGCCAGGCTGGTCTCAAACTCCTGACCTCAAGTGATCTGCCTGCCTTGGCCTCCGAAAGTGCTGGGATTACAGGTGTAAGCCATTGTGCCTGGCCAATTTGTAGAAATTTGTTATAGCAGCAATAGGAAATGAATACAGAGATGATGAGGAAACCAAACCACCACATCAAACCACCCTTGTGGACCAAAGCAGCCCTTCTGTATTCACAGCCCTGCAGTGTTTGCTAATTATATTATGTGGTTTATTCCTCTCATTAGCCTAGATCATAAGCTCTCAGGCTAACTATTCTCCTGAAATACCAAACTCAATGCTCCCATAGAATAGTCACACCATGTTGGATCCTGCCAAGCCCAAACGGATACATCTGGATATGTCTTATGAGTTGAGGAGGAACCATCTTCAGGTGGTTAATTGCATACGTGGAATTGTTGAAGAAGAAAGAAGAGCGAAGAGGATATGGGAGGGTCCAGGGCAGTGAAGAACAGAGGGATGGGACAGTAGCATTTGTGTCTTTACAGCCCAAACATATGCCTGAGGCTGAGTCTGGTCAGGTAGCAAGCAAAGGCTGCAAGAAGTGCTTTTGAGATTTCTGAGATGTGAGGTACAAGTGGCCCCCTGTCCAGGCAAGAAAGGGCGACATTGAGTGATGGATAGAAGCATTTTCTCCACTTCTGTACTGAGTACAGCTCGGCTCTAGCACAGTGAGGAATGAGGGACAGGTGGCACCATTTGACCCTTTCTCGAGAACAGACTGGGGCCACCCCTGGATGTTGCTCCCTGGTCATCAAGCAACAGGGAGCCCCATGGCCAAGGCAAGGGACAGTCAGCATCCAGTGGGGGCTGGGGACAGGAGCACATGAAAGGACCATTGTGAGCATAGGCAAGACCCCTGGGGACTCAAAGAAGCACCTGGAGAAAATTCTATTTTGTAGACATAGTGGTGGCAGGAGGCAAGGACCTGTATCAGGTAGGTGGGAGCATGAACCAGCAGAATACAAGCTATTCGTGTTCACTTAACTTCATCTGTGCCTGGTGAAGCCAGGGGCTCTTCAGGTATCAGCTGGATTACTGGTTTGAGATTAAATTGATTGAATCATAGAAATAGACTAAAGTGCTCAGGAGCTTAGAAGCTGAGTAAGAACTGCCTGAAAAGCAGATTTTATTTGGAAAGCACTGAGCTCACCTGGGTGTTAATTTCACCCAGTAATTTGCTGCCTGGATACGGGGCTTCCTTGTTGGTTTACTGTGGGGTTTTATTAGTTCGTTTTGGTGCTGCTGATAAAGACATACCCAAGCCTGGGTAATTTACAAAAGAAAGAGGTTTAACGAACTCACAGTCCCACATGGCTGGGGAGGCCTCACAATCATGGTGGAAAGTGAGTCATGTCTCACATGGTGGCAAACAAGAGAAAAGTGAGAGCCAAGTGAAAGGGGTTTCCCCTTATCAAACCATCAGATCTCGCGAGACGAATTCACTATCACAAGAACGGTATTGGGGAAACCACCCCCATGATTCAATAATCTCCCGCTGGGTCACCCCACAACATGAGGGAATGATGAGAGCTACAGTTCACGATGAGATTTGGGTGGGGACACAGCCAACCGTCTCAGAGGCCAAGTTTCTGATGCCTTCTTGCTGATCGCAGTTTCCCCAGACCTTAGCACAGGGCTGGGCACACAGGGGCACACCACGACTGTTTATATTATCCAAATGAGTCCCTACGTTGGCTAAGCCAATGAGGCATGTTATTGGTCCTTGATTCCCTCTTATGCGTTTTTTTTTTTTCAGTGGGGGCGACGGAGTTTTGCTCTTCTTGCCCAGGCTGGAGGGCAATGGCTCAATCTTGGCTCACCACAACCTCCGCCTCCCGGGTTCAAGCGATTCTCCCGCCTCAGCCTCCTGAGTAGCTGGGATTACAGGCATGCGCCACCATACCCGGCTAATTTTTAGTAGAGAGGGAGTTCCTCCATGTTAGGCTGGTCTCAAACTCCCGACCTCAGGTGATCCACCTGCCTCAGCCTCCCAAAGTGCTGGGATTACAGGCGTGAGCCACCTTGCCCAGCCCCTCTTTTGCCTTTTACCTCCTAGGATTGTCGAGTGTTATCAAATCAGCAAGCAACATTCATCTTCTTCTTCAGCGAGTTTCATTATATGGCCTAGCTGTGGCAGAGAAACCAGAATGAGTTTCTGTGTATGGGTGACAGGGTGGGAATTTGAGCTTAATCTCCTATGGCCTAGCTGTGCATCATCCTTGAAAGCCACTGAATGACATCTGGCAAAATCCCAGGAGGCACCTCCAACCTCCTGTGACTTTACCAAAGGGCCTAGTCTAGGTTCCCGGTTGCCTTACAACTTCCCTTGAATCTGATGAGGATGAAGGGTAAAATACACTTGGCTAGAACGGAGACCGTGAGTCCCAAGTCAGGCCTCCAATCACTGCCCTTCCATCTTATGCCACACACCCTCCGAGGGGCGAAGGAAAACATCAGTACAGTTAGTATATTTTGGTCTCACAGACATTTGTGAGCATCACAAAGCCATTCCCCTAATTGCTCTTGGTTGAGTGATTACAACAGCCCTTGCTGCAAAACTCCCCCACGACCTAACCTTTCAGAGTCCAATCTTGTAAAGCTAACTCAGGGAGAGCTTGCTTAAATTACTGGGCCAGTATTATGTGAGTGTGAGGTTGCCAAGGAAAATGAGTCAGACACTAATCCCTTTGCTAGGAGATGAGAAAAAAAAAAAAAAAAAAAAGGCTGACAGACCTTTACTATTTTAATTACCTGCTTCCAGAACAATAAAAGGGAATTCAGATCTTCCACTTACAGTTGTGCCTTCTTACATTCCCGTAAAGTACCTGCACTATTTCCTTGAGATGTAAGCCTTGGGCTTTTTTTCCTTTCAACTGTGTTCAAGCTATAGTTCTGACCATTCAAGTTTGGATAAAAATAAGAATTAAAATTTCCTTTGCTGGTTTTGGTTACAAATATTGGAACCAATGAACATTTAAACCTTGTTTCCTTCTTGAAAGATTTTTCAGAGTTTTAAAATGCCTCCTGGGAATGATGACTAAAGGTAATGTGGGATCCTGGATGGGATCCTGGGACAAAAAAAAAGGACAATGGGCAAAATCTAAGGACATCTGAATAATGTTTGGACTTTATTTTATAATAATAGTGTGTCAATACTAGTTCATTAATTGTGACAAATGTACCATGCTAATGTAAGATGTTAACTCTATATGAGAACTCTCCATTATCTTCACGATTTTTCTGTAAACCTAAAACTATTGCAAAATAAGAATTTTATTTAAAAAGAGTGAATCCTGATCTCATTGATTACTCTTTGAAGATTAGTTTTGTGACAGCAGCAGAGCTCCAGTAGATAATCTGGCGTCACGATTTGGGCTAAACTGAGTGCCCATGAAATAGTGTCTAGGCACAACTCCAAATGAATTATTCAGACCTCCTGGCCACAGAGAAGATTCTTTTCTTTTCTTTTCTTTTTTTTAATGACCCAGAGACCGGGCATTTCGGATATGCAAATGCGAAGTAATCCTTTTATGGGAAGTGGATCAAAACTGGGAAAGGAGATACACCAAGGCATGTTGTGGGGACAAGCCTCAAGGAGTACGTGTGTGTGTGTGTGTGTGTGTGTGTGATGTCTCACTGGGCTTTCATTGTTCTTCCTTCCTTCCTTTCTTTCTTTCTCTCTCTCTCTCTCTCTTTCTTTCTTTCTCTCTTTCTCTCTTTTTTCTTTCCTTCCTTCCTTCCCTTCCTTCCTTCCTTCTTTCCTTCCTTCCTTCCCTTCCTCCCATCCTCCCTCCCTCCCTCCCTCCCTTCCTCCCTCCCTCCCTCCCTCCCTCTCTCCCTCTCTCTCTTTTTCTTTCTTTCTTTTTTGACAGAGTCTTGCTCTGTCGCCCAGGCTGGAGTGCAGTGGTGCGATCGATTGCAAGCTCACTGCAAGTTCTGCCTCCCGGGTTCACGCCATTCTCCCGCCTCAGCCTCACGAGTAGCTGGGACTACAGGCACCCACTACCACGCCCGGCTAATTTTTTGTATTTTTAGTAGAGACGGGGTTTCACCGTGTTAGCCAGGATGGTCTCCATCTCCTGACCTTGTGGTCCCCCTGCCTCGGCCTCCCAAAGTTCTGGGATTACAGGCGTGAGCCACTGCGCCCGGCCTGTCTTTCTTTCTTTCTTCTTTCCCTCCCTCCCTCCTTCCCTCCCTCTTTCTCTCTTTCCTTCCTTCCTTCTCCCTCCCCTCCCCTCCCCTCCCCCCTCCCTCCCTCCCTCCCTCCTTCCTTCCTTCCTTCCTTCCTTCCTTCCTTCCTTCCTTCCTTCCTTCCTTCCTTCCTTCCTTCCTCTCTCTCTCTCTCAATGTCTCTCTTTCCTCTCTTCCTTTCTCTCTCTCTTTCTTTCTTTCTTTCCTTTTTGGAGACAAAGTCTTGCTCCCTCACCCAGGCTGGAGTGCAGTAGCTCACTGTCACCTTGAACTCCTGGGCTCAAGCAAACCTCCCAACCTCAGCCTCCTGAATAGCTAGGACTATGGGTGCGTACCACTGGCTAATGTTTTTAATTTTTTTGTACAGACACGATCTCACTGTAGTGCTCAGGCTGATCTACAACTTCTGGCCACAAGAGATCTTCCCACCTCCCAAAGTGTGGGGATTACAGGCGTGAGCTACCGCACCTGCCCGCATTGTGTTTTCTTATTCTCCAATCTGGACCCTGTTCCCCTCATGCTGCTTATGCCGCCCTCTGTATTTGGGATGATTTCTGTTTCTTATCCACTAAGAAACCACCTTCATCTCTCATGCTGTCTTCAAATCTCTCCTCTTTCATGACATTTTATTAGGCTGGGGGAATAGGTGACAGTTCTTGTTTGACTCAAACCTACTTTTCTTAGAGTGCAGCATCAGTCTATTGTAAGATAAATTAAAAAAAAAAAAAAAAAGGTTTTGCAAGCCAATCTGTTATCACACAGAGCCTAGTACCTAGTTGTGTTAGATTTTTAAGCCACTCCCAAAAACCAGACTTTTGCTGTGATCATTCTGTTGCAACCATTCTCATCAGGTTCCCAGTGAATCCCACCACCCCCATACTAAATTCAGTGATTAATTTCCTGGTCTCATTTTGTTTGACTTCCCAGCAGCATCTGACTTGGTTGCCTCCTCCCTTCTTTTTGAGTGAATAGCTTTCTGTTCCTCCATGATGTCACCTTCCCCTGGTTTTCTGTTTCCTTCAATGGCCACTCCTTCTCAGTCTTTTGGCTGGCATCTGATCTTCTTACCTGTTATTGTTGCATGTCCGCAGCTCAGTGCATGGCTGTCTTCTGTATGTGCGTCCACACTTTTGGTGCCTGCATGCTGTCCTGTGAAGTTCAATACCACCTAGATGCTGATGGTGAACTGAGATATGTCTCTACCTCCTGACCGCATCATGTTCACATGTCCCACATTGTATCTGATAGCTCTTTCTGAATGTCTAGTAGATATCTCCAACTTAACATGCCAAACACACAGCTCCTGATCCCCAAGGAAGTTCAGACTCCTATGAGAAATGTTATTGTATCTATAACTCGCCATTCCTCAGCCCCATGTTCCCAAGGCTAAGCTAGCTAAATATAGCAAATTGTCATTGATAAAGAGGCAATATACTTTAAAATATAAAATGTGATACATGTATGTTGTATGTTGAAAATTGAATGATATCAGGAACTATCCATATTTTTATTCACTAATAGTAAGATCTAATGAGTGTTTCTTTTGTGCCAGGTACTAAGTGTTTCACACATTTTATGTTATTTAATCCTTTCTGTAATCCTACAGGTAGATATTATGGCCCCGTTTTTTTTTTTTTTTTGAGACAGAGTCTCGGTTTGTCACCCAGGCAGCGGCACTCTCTCAGCTCACTGCAACCTCTGCATCCCAGAGTCAAGCGATTCTCCTGCCTCAACCTCCCGAGTAGTTGGCATTATAGGTGGTGTACCACCACGCCCAGATAATTTTTGTATTTTTAGTAGAGACTGGGTTTTCACCATTTTGGCCAGGCTGGTCTCGAACTCCTGATCTTAAGTGATTCACACACCTCAGCCTCTCAAAGTGCTGGTGTTACAAGCATGAGCCACTGCATATGGTCCCATTTTCATATCAGGAAATGATACACAGGGAGGTTAAATAACTTGTCCAAGGTCACAGAACTAGTTAATAATGGCTAAAATTTGAACCCAGACAGCCAACTATACTCTGAAGAGTCATGGTGGAAATTACAGTGCTATTTCCCACCCCAGGGTCTTGGGTCTATTCAAGGGAGATTCCATGCATTGTATTCTATTACTAGATGCTGTGGCATTTAGCCTAGATGTGTATAGAACCCTCATGCTAAATGCTATGATGTGGTGTCCTCATGAATGGATTAATGCTGTTATTGAGGAGTAGGTTGGTCACCATGAGAATAGGTTTCAAATGAAAGGATGAATTTGACCCCCTTCCTCTCTGTCTCTCTTATGTGTGTGCACATGCTCTCTTGCCCTTCTACCTTCCACCATGGGATGAAACAGCAAGAATGCCCTTGCCAGATGCAGGCCCCTTGACCTTGGAATCCCCAGTCTCCAGAACCATAAGAAAGAAATCTGTTCTTTAGTTCATAATCAGAATAGAGGACAATATGAGCAGAGTGCTGCTTCTGCTAACACAGGTATGGAATGTGGGACAAAGAATTCTCAGAGAGTGAGCCACTGGGAAGTCCTAACTAGAATATGTGGCTACTGTACCTTTCTACTTGACACAGTCCTTGAGAGAGTGAATTAGGCAATGAGTGCAAATCCTTCAGGCTTTTCCCTTGAGTGACTTGGTAGACACTCAGTTCATTGCATCACCAGGGTTCACATCCACAGCTTTGCACAGCTACCCCTTGGTCCCATGCCCACAGAACTGTGAGGCCTGCCTGTTCTTCCCACTGGGGCCTGTTGACCTACTAGCTCCCACAGACACAGACACAAGCCACTGGGCACTGAATTTTAAAAGCTGATAATGTAGCAGCTTTAAGCAGTGAAAAATATTAGTGTGGAAAAGAAAGCTGAGAAATCCAAGTCAGCTCTTGAAAAGCACTCATATCCATAAATACTTTATTGAAACTGTTATTTTCAGAAAATGCCCAATTTCTGTCAGAAAAAAAAGTAATGAAAAGTCTTTTTTTTTCCTTCCAAACATATTTCATTATTTAGTCTAAAAAAAAGCAAAAAACTTCTCAAGGATGGCTCTTTTTGGTAAAAAAAATTTTCAAACAAATGAGATCTTTTCTTTTTGGTATTTTTTAAGGATGGGTTTTTAATAAATATTATGCACAATGTTTTTGAAGCGTTTCCTGTCCTCAATATACACCAACATACTTTGTGCTAAAAACTTTCCAGAAATATGTTTATTAAACAAAGAAATATATGCAAGACTGTATATGTTCTACTCATTTTGAGATAAAACATTCCCCTCCTCATCTTGCCTTTTGCTACATTATTTATCATGCTTTTTCACTTTTGAATAAAAGACCAATTTTTTAAAAACACGAACTATCCAATCCAAATGTTAACGCTCATCTTAACTTACTTTCTTTTCTTTCTTTGTTTTCTAATCAGCAAACTCTATAAAGCCTGGTGTGTAAATAGGCAGTAAATATAATACTATTAAAAGATAAAACAGAGCAAAGAAACAATATCAGCCGATGTTTTGGGAGTTCCCACTTTTCTTTGTTTGCGATCACAAAAAGGAAAAGAGATATCAGATCTGATATATCTCTTTTCCTTAATTGTTATTTAGCACTGAAGACTAGTGGAAAAGTCTAGCCAGATGTTTTAAAATAGAGACAAGATTTCAAGGAGCTTTCTGTTATATTAGCCTTAAGTGAGTTTATCTTTTTAGGGTCTAAATGAGAAGACCATTTCATTATTTGCTTAATGCACTGAAAATCTTTCATTTTCAAGGCAGGATCTCAGTAAAGAGGAATTCATATGCCTGGAAGCCCAAAGTAGTGTTTCATAGTGAAAGCCACTCATACATGTACATTATGTTCAGGAAATGCAAATGCAACAAGAAGGTGACCCTGATAATGGTTCTTCCAACCGTCACAGTTCCTGCCATGCAGCAGAAATTCTGAAGCTCTTAAAAACTGTCAGACTAGGCATGCTTTTTAAAAAAGAGGAACAGAGAAATTACTTACATCTCAGAGTTCCATCGTGAGGCCTTGCCTCTCCACTCCACAGACCTCTGCCTGGCCACGGATACTTCACCCTGGCTTGACAGCTGGTTTAATCTGCAAGCCAGGGTGGAATGCGTGGTCTTGCACTTGCTGTTCTTTTCCGTCTTCAGAGGGCCAGCGGCCTGGTCATTTCCATGGCAACCAGGAGCAAGCGGCTGGCCTACCAGTCTCATTAACTACACACAGGAGAGAACCTGCCTTGGTGACTTCTGGCCACTCTTTTGGGGTTCTAAACTGGGAAGTTTCTAGAAGAAACTGAGGAGACTGTTGCTGTAGGCTGATCCCAAAGGATTGACACAAATGGAAGAAATTCTACTTTAGCAGGAAATTGAATGGATTAAATGTAGAGTACGGAGACTCCTTGATACTTTTGCTTTCATGATTTATTCCACCTTTTTTGGTCTGATGAATTGTTACTTACGGTAAATGCCTGCATTACTGTAAAAAGTGTCCCATCGTGGTTGTTCCAGAGGAAAAAAAAAAGCTCATTTGAACTCCAAAGATAGACATTATTCTCTCTCTCTTTTTTTTTTAAGTTCATTAAAAAAAAAAAAAAAATGAGAAGCCACAAAACCAATAAATAGGTAAAAATTATTCTATGTACATTAACTGATGTCTTAGTCCTTGTGGGCTTCTACAACAAAATACCATTAGTTGGGTAACTTACAAACAACACATTTATTTCTGTAGGCTGGGAAGACCAAGATCAAGGCAGATTTGTTTTCCGGTGAGGGTCTACTTCCTGGTTCATAGATGGCACCTTCTAGCTGAGTCCTTACATGGTGGAAGGGAGACAACTGTGGTTTTTCAGCTTCTTACAAGGGCACTAATCCCATTTATAAGGGCTCCACCCTCATGACCTAATCACATTCCAACATCTCCGCCTCCTATGCTATCACATTGAGGATTAGGTTTCAATATATGTATTTTAAGAGAAGATAAATACCTGGGCCTTAACAACTGATGAGGTCTCACTAAATATGGGGAAAAAGATAAGGCAGGGGACCCCAGTCTCCAGGCCACAGACTGGTACCAGTCCACGCTACAGCAGGAAGTGAGCAGTGGGTGAGCAAGAGAAGCAGCTTCATCTGTATTTACAGCTGCTCCCTATCACTCACATTACCACCTGAGCTCCGCCTCCTGTCAGATCAGCAGTGGCATTAGATTCTCATAGGAGCAAATTGAGAATGCTATTCTATTGTGAACCATTATGAACTGCGCATTCGAGGGATCTAGGTTGCATGCTCCATCTGAGAATCTAATGCCTGATGATCTGTTACTGTCTCCCATCACCCCCAGATGGGACAGTCTAGTTGCAAGAAAACAAGCTCAGGGATCCCACTGATTCTACATTATGGTGAGTGGTATAAGTATTTCATTATATATTATAATGCAATAATGATACAAAGTGCACAATAAATGTAATGCACTTGAATCATCCCCAAACCATCTCCTACCCCTGCCTGTCCGTTGAAAAATTATCTTCCATGAAACCGGTCTCTGGTGCCAAGAAGGTTGGGGACTGCTGAGATAAAGAAAAATCTTGCTAATTAAAAGCATTAAGAGACTGGAGCAATTGATTTGTAATTACCCAGATACAGATTCTCCAATATGTTAAAGAAGAGAGCACCTCAGTAGGGAAATTCATTCATTCATTTATTATTCATCTAGTGAATCCTTACCATACACATGCACTGTGCCAGCAGATTTAAGGGGCACAGAGATCAATATCATGGTTCTTGTCTTTAAGGAAGTTATACTATAGAAGGGGCAATTATATCAGTTGTGTCTGGGAAATGTTTGAAGGGAGATATAGACACAATGCAGGGGAGTCTCAGTGAAGGTCAGCCTTTGCCAGGGAGACTGGTGAAGTCCTTGTGGAGAGGTAGTTTTGGATCTAGGCCTTAAAGGATGGCTGGGATCTGTGTGGTCAGTTGTGGGGGAAAGGACAGCAATCCCTAATGGAGTGATTCTTTGATGAATTGCAGATCCAAGCTGATGGATAAATCCTTCCTCCTTTCTGCACCCAGAGAGTCTGACACAAATGGCTTCTTGGGTGGCCCACAGAATAAAGGAACTCAAGTAACTATACACCATGGAATACTATGCAGCCATCAAAAAGGATGAGTTTGTGTCCTTTGTAGGGACATGGATGCAGCTGGAAACCATCATTCTTAGCAAACTATCACAAGAACAGAAAACCAAACACCGCATGTTCTCACTCATAGGTGGGAACTGAACAATGAGATCACTTGGACTCAGGAAGGGGAACATCACACACAGGGGCCTATCATGGGGAGGGGGGAGGGGGGAGGGATTGCATTGGGAGTTATACCTGATGTAAATGACGAGTTGATGGGTGCAGCACACCAACATGGCACAAGTATACATATGTAACAAACCTGCACGTTATGCACATGTACCCTACAACTTAAAGTATAATAATAATAAATAAATTTAAAAAAAAAAAAAAAAAAGAAAATTGCTGGAGCAAAGGTTTTGAGGTGGAAGAGTCCCAGGCCTATTCAGCCATTTGGAGAGCCAGTGAATCATAGCCAGGATAAAGGGAATTGAGAATAGAGAGAGGCTGCTATTGTTTAGTGATCAGTTTCAGCAAAGCACATGTATAAATTCTACCATGTGACAACAGCAAAGTGGATCTTGGTTCTTGAGTCTGTTACCTTCTTGCACATTATTTAAACTTTATGAGCCTCAGTTTCCTTATCTATAAAGTGGGTATAATAATACTTTGTTGAAAGGTAGAACTGAGGAAAAAATGAGATAATATATGTGCACTGGATGCCTGAAGATGAGGGAGGGAAAGGCTGGCCAAAGATACACCGAGTGCCCCACCTTTCCAGAGCAACTGTGGCTAATCCAATGGTTTGGCGTACTCAACCTCTGTTTCTACATCTTTCTTTCTTGCCTGCCTCTATTGTAGAGACTGGAAATCTCTATAATTCAACACACCAGAGTCTCTTGAAGCTGAGGTTTCAGATGGGATTTAAGTTTTATTATTTATACTTGACTCAGAATGAAGTCATGTGGAGAGAGGACCCTGAGACTTTGGGAATGAATTAAGTGAGGAGAGAGAGGAGAGTACTGGGAATCTCTTGCTGGCTAGGGTCTCAGCAGCTATGGCATGGTCTGTGGTGGGGGTGGCCTTCTGACTGAGTTGTGGACTGGTTGTGGCCCATGTGGCATGGCTCAAGAGCTGAGAACTGTGGCACTAACTTCCTGTTGGAGAATGTGGCCTCTTAATTCAGCAACTTCCTGATGGTGGATCAGGTAGTAGCTCCCATGATGGTCCAATTCTATGATGACTTTCGGAGTTCAGTCTAGAATCCATTTCTTCAGTCCTTCCAATGACTCAAGGAAGTATCTGCACATCTGAAGAAATTCCTGGTTGGTCTAAACCAGCTGGAGTAGACTCTGTTGCCTGTAACCAAGAACCCTGCATTATATACTAGTGCTTTCATTCTGGCCAATACAAGGTGACAGAGTTTGGATATGTGTCCCCGCCCAAATATCATGTTGAATTGTAATCCCCAGTGTTGGAGGTTGGGCCTGATGGGAGGTGATCGGATCATGTGGGTGGATTTCTCTTGAATGCTTGATACTGTCCTCACGATAGTGAGTTCTCGTGAGATCTGGTTGTTTAAAAGTGTGTGGCACTTCCCCACACCTATTCCTGCTTCCCCCATGGGACACACCTGCTCCCCATTCACCTTCTCCACAATCGTAAGTTTCCTGAGGCCTCTTCAGAAGCCAAGCAGATGCTGCTATGTTTCCTGTTCAGCCCACAGAACCATGAGGCAATTCAACCTCTTGTCTTCATAAATTACCCGGCCTCAGGCATTTCTTTATAGCAAGGTGAGAATGGCCTTGCTATAAAGAAGCCACTTACAAGGTAAGTGGGAGTTTGCTGGTATTGTCTCTTCTACTCCTTTATTTTAATGACTAAGATAAGCAGCATAAGGTATTTAGTGTAAACCACGCACAAAGAAGGCAGCCAGAAATGGTAGCTATTATATTGATTACTCCTTGTCACTTTCTCTATTTATGACCCAGATGCCTTCCAGGACCTCTTGCTTAGTGGGGTTCCTGGCTGAAGGCAAAGAGTGTGAAGAGCCAGGTACTTCCCTGGAAACTTGAAGGCCAAACCCGCAGCTGCCGATGGAATGTGGCTCGGTCTCTGAGTATGGCATGTTAAACATTTACCCCAGGTTTTCTATCTCCTTGTCTTTTTAAAGCGTTTACTTCCACTGGCTCTTTGTGTTAACTGGGTCACATAGTTTAAGTTGATTTAGCAGCAATGAGTATTGGGAAGGTTAATAAAACCACACCTCAGACTGCCTGTTTTGTTCAGCTGTGGAGCCAACGGGTGGCGGACAAGTGTTTGTTCACGATGAGATGGAATTCTAGCTTTGTCCTTGACCAATTTGTTTTCTTTCTTCCTTTTATTTTTATCATAAAAGCAATGCAGGTTTCTGATAGCACATTCAGATAATATCCAATGTATTAAACAAAAGTGAAAACCCACACCCTCCTCTACAACTGATCTTCCAGAAATAACGTGTGGTGTAAGTCTGCAGTGAAGCAAATATTGCTTGATTGTTCACTAACATGTGTTCCTTACAATCTTTTACCTTGGGCCTGGCATGGTAGCTCATGTCTGTAATCCCAGCACTTTGGGAGGCTGAGATGGGAGGAGCACTTGAAGACAGGAGTTTGAGACCAGCCTGAGCAACATAGTGAGACACTGTTTCTGCAAAAAGTAAAAAACTAGCCAGGTGTAGAGGTGCCCACCTATAGTCCCAGCTACTCAGGAGGCTGAGGTGGGAGGATCTCTTGAGCCCAGGAGGTCGAGGCTGCAGTGAGCCAAGATTGCACCATTGCACTCCAGCCTGGGTGACAGAGCAAGACCCTGTCTCTGAAAAAGAAAAAAAAAAAAATCTGTTACCACAAGACTTCAAATTCCACTGTTTCTGACACCCTCTGTTCATGGATTCTCATCTGGAGTCTCTACCACCCCCTACTTAACTGCCTCCAAATCACTACCAGTGTCTTCTATTACTGTGTCTTCCATCCGGGGCAGCTTCAGGAGTCATCTCAGGCT